CTCCAGTGCACCAGGAGGAAATTTCCCTCCATTGTCTGGATGTAGTTCGGTCGGGGACGAGTATATTTCAGGAGGACCGATTCCTTTTGTATTCTGGATGGACCCAGTAAGGGTGACTCAAGTAGTAGAAGGGTGTTCATCTCTAGGTGACTCAAGTAGACCATCATCCAAACTTATGGTTTTAAGTAGGGATGCAGCGATGCCCAAACTTCCGGTATCAGGAAGTCGGGCAGGGAGTCATTACACGCTGCCCAGCTTCCAGATTGGCAGAGAAGCCGGCTCCATGCTCCCTCGTCACTTGGTGACAAGGGAGCATGGGTCCGGCTTAGACCAGCTTCCTGATTGGCCGGGAAGCCGGCTCCATGCTCCCTCGTCACTTGGTGTCAAGGGAGCATGGATCCGGCCAATCAGGAAGCCGGGCAGCGTGCAATGACTCGCTGCCCGGCTTCTTGATTGGTCAGGAAGATGGCCAATGAGGAAGCCAGACAGCGAGTCATTACACGCCACCCGACTTCTTGATTGGCCAGAAAGCCGGCTTCATGCTCCCTCGTCACACGCATGCTTGGACTTGTGTTCCTCTGGGGACCACAAGTATACTAGGGCAGGTGACAATCCCAGTATACTTGTGAGCTTTGGGTCACGTGAGGACGCTAGTTTGTGTCCTCCCGTGACCCTTAGGAGAACTATGGGGGAAAACACTGACCCCATAGTTCTCCTTTAAAGCACAGCTGGAGGGCCAGAGTTGCCCACCCTTGTATAAGAGCAAACAACTAAAATATGAGACGACATCAAACACTGTGATAATACCCAGAAATACGCTGAGGGGAATTTATTAAAACTGGAGCAGTTGTCAATAACAACCATACAGCTTATCTTTCATTTTCAAAGCTTAAACTGAACAAACTGAAGAAAGAAGCTGATTGGTTGCCATGGGCAACTGATAGTTTTCATAAACCCCCATCAATTTAAATTTACTTCTTCCCATTTAATAAAACAATGTTCATAACCCACTAAAAGCTGTCACTGAAACAGGTGATATCTACTAATAATGGATCAGACATTTCATATTCTTCTCCATAGAGCAAGAAGGACATTCCGCACCATGTAGTTCCCCCAGCATGTTCCTGATGGAGGGAAAGAAATGAACGAGTGCACCGATATGACCATACATCATAATAACCCGTATCAGAGCTATTCCCTCCTCCTCCTCCTCCTCCTCCTCCTCCTTGTTACCAGCCCGCAATTCTCACCCCCGATCAGCTCCCGCCACCACGGCTCCTCTTTCAGCTGTCCTGCCGCGAGCTGTCGCCGTGACGTCATCACCGAGGGACGTGGCTGGCGAGCTGCCATATTGAGAAGGGCAAAGAAGTGTCTCTGGCTCAGTGGGCCGTGAGGCGGAGGGTGTGACGTCATGGGCTCTGTGGAACTTTGAAGAAGGTTTGTGATAAAGCTATAAATAAATGCATTTACAGAGGAGCTTCACTCTAGTCCGTAAAAAATGTAAAAAAAAAGGCTAAAATGTTAATATATGTAAAATAAAATTTAAAAAACTTTCCACAAAGTGGAATGTTGCCTCAGGTTAAACTTTCCAAAGGGCCTCTTTTGTCCCTCAGGCACCAGCTTGCACTAAAGGGGGTGATCAAGTCGCTTCCATGTTCTATATCACCGGTAGAATTTTGTTCGAAAAATTAGTTTGCAATTCTAGATTTTTTGGAATGAAGGAAATTCTAGCAGCGAATGTGGTTTTCATTCAGGGAAACGCCATTCATTTCCAAAATCGAATGTTAAACTCAAAGGAGGTTTCAAATGATGTTCGTCAAGTCTCTGAAGACATCATCAAATGTTCTGACAATTGTTTTGCATGAACGTTCATATGAAAATCTACCAGTGTATGGCCAGCTTATGAGCACACCCAGCGCTCTGGCCATGGCATCACATTGTTTACCCTTTGCCGGCGCCATGGAAACAATATGACTCCCAGGCTAGATCGTTTGGTGTGCATGAGCGGGGTTGGTGGCTCATGCAAACCCAGCACTATATGGGCCCATTCACACCATGTCCGGACCAGACTTAGCAACCTGAGACGCTCTAGCAGGGATCATTGCAGGGAGGGGCCATCTGTCAACTGCTGTTTTTTTTTTGTTTTTTTCTCTCCGACTGACAGCGGCCCCGATGTCAGAAAAAGGTTTACTCTGCTAGATCGAGCAGAGTAAACCTTTCCAGGAGAAAATGTCTCTCTCCCGGGCAGCCGGGAGCTGCTATCTAATAGCAGGCGGCTCCTGGAACGTCCGGGAGAGTTGGGAATTTCTGTTTTTATTACCAATTCATTAAAGAAAAAGTCCAACCTACCTTTTTTAGTTGCTTGTCCCCACCAGGGGACAAAGTGTATGTAGTACTTTGTCCAGTATTTTTAGGTGGTGTATAGACTGAGCTAATGTGGTGGACAGTGTGCCCCCCACCGCTTTTATGACTACGCAGCTAACAAGGAGACAAATACCTGATGAGCCTTGATTGACAGCGCTTATCTCTGGCTCCATGCAAGCCCCATCACTAGGAATGCAGGGAGGGGGTGTATCAGATGTTCCACCCCCTCTTTGTCTCAGATGGATCAGCCACCCAGTGCTCCAATGTCACTAGGAATGCAGGGGGAGATGACGAGTCAGGTAGGTGGGCAGTGAGTTCCCCTGTCCCCCGTATAAATAGACCTAGCTTCACATTGACTTGTTAGCAGCAGTTCCCCTGTCCCACCCACTCTTTGCCAGCTGGACAAGCCACTCGGCAATCCAACACCATTGGTTGCTAGGATGCAGGCATCCGGACCACACAGCATCATGCGTTTCCATGGTATGGCAAGCACAGCCACCAGCACCATAACGTTATGTGGCCAAGCCACCTGCATCATGGTAACCAATGATGGTGGAATCCTCTCAATCATGGAGGCTCAGCGTTACACAAGGTTGTTATCTAAGGTGGTCTGCATGCAAATGTAGCCTGTTTAGGAACTCCTACTCCTTTAGACTGACATCCACCGATCAAGACAATTTAATATTAATACAGTATATATTTTTCAAAGAGACAGCCCGACTGCATGCATCGGGGTTGAGGGCTTTAGGGCCCGTTCACACCATTTGCAGTGCGTTCCGGCCCAATTCTGACCAGAACGCACTGCCACGCATTGCGGCCGGCTCACTTTTTAGCAGGACAGGAGGGGGCGTGACGGTCCATTAAAGTGAATGGCGCCGTAGCCATGCCCTCCGGCCACAATGCGATCACCTGTACGGGATCGCAAGACACATTGTGCCTGCGGTCCAGTGCGGTGCGATCAAAATAGTGCTTGCAGCATTTTGATTGCACCGGACCGCAGGCACAATGTTCCTTGCGATCCCGTGCGGGCGATCGCATTGCGGCTGGAGGGCGTGGCTACGGTGCCATTCACTTCAATGGCCTGCCACGCCCCCTCCTGCCCCACTAAAAAGTGAGCCGGCCGCAATTCGAGGCAGTGGGTTCTGGCCAGAGCGCACTGCAACTGGTGTGAACAGATGTGAACGGGCCCGAGAACTAAGGAAGGGTGCTGTGATGTTTTCAGGAAGCTTTGTACAACATCCCTATTGGCCCCTCCCACCAGCCATGATCTGCCTGTATTGAATAGAGATGCAATCACTGGGTCTAATATAAAGTATGTAATGAAAACGGAAAGATTTGATTTCATGCTGATCAGGGGGGAGAAACCAGAGAAGGCAAAATATAAGTACACTAAACTTCAGCTTGAAAGGCCTAGAATAACCTGGATGGAGATGGGTGATAGCTGTCTTGCTTTTTCCTTGTCACGTTACAGGAAACCTACAGCGAGAAAATTCAGAGGTTGACAGTGATGAAAATGTTAGCTGGCTGAGTGTCTCTGGCCTCAGGACCTTCTTAGACACTGACCCGGAAAAGACATGCAGCTGGTAAAGTCAGGGGAAAGTCAGATCTCTGCATATCTGTCCTGTATCTGTGTTTCAGAAAGCATTGAATCCTTAGGATCAGCATGACGGCCTTACAGTTAGCATTTTTAAAAGTAGATTTGAGCAGTGGCAGCCTATATAATTTGTCAGGACAGGTTTCCTTTAAAGGAGAACTATGGGGAGAGTGAAATGCACTCATTCCCATAGTTAAAGCCGACGTGGGACACTGCAGCTGTCACACATCAGCCTTATTGATCAAGAACTGAGGGATCACAAACCTTTGATTGCTCAGTTCATGATCTTCTCGCTGCAGAGAAAGGTGGCTGTCAGTCATCACTCCCTGCAGGGATTTCCCCCTCCCTCTCTATTCCTCCAGCTCTCATTGGAGGGACAGACAGGGGAGGGGGCGGGCACAGCTGGCTCTAGAGAGGCAGAGCTAGCTGTCAATCAGGCAGCATGGTGAATCCCGACAATAGTGTCTGTATCTTTCCCTGCTGCAGTTCGGCACTACGCTGTCAGCAAATAGCGGGCAATAGCCCACTATATGCTGACTTTGGGTCACAGGAGTACATTAGTAGAACAGGAAAAAACATATAAACAGCGCTCTCGGATGGGCAACAAATTAGCTTAGAGGTGTGTGTGCAGCCCTGGAAAACAGGAGGAGAACCTGTGGATTGTAAATATTCAAAAAACCAAGAAAGGAGAGGAGTACATTAGTAAAAGTCCTCCTGTGACCCAAAAGAGAACTAATGCCAAAAAAGTTTTGGCCATAGTTTTCTTTTAGGCTGAAGTTTTTTACTGACCCGGGAACCCCATTCCTAAGACAAACATTTCAGGGCCTATAATTATTATTATTGGACTTTTCCCATCATCTTGACCATTTCTGTCAGTTCATACACATGATTCACACACACGATTTCCAGTTGTGGAATTACTATATAATATTTGTTCTCACAAACTGTTATTACTATGTTCATAAATTAGAATTTTCCATAATACAGTTGGGTGACAATAACTAATAAAGCTTATTTAAAAATGAAAAAGACAACAGGAGAATGTAGAAAATAAACATTTTATTGAGGATAAAATTGCCCAATCATATTTAGGGGACGTTCAGGATTCCTCCTTCTCGTCTCCATGTGTGATGATGTAACACAGTGACTTGTAGTCGATATTCCCAGCCACATCAATGGGGGTCACGGCAAACATCTGTTCTACCTAAAAAAAGGCATAAACTGTTATAATTCCATAGTACATCGGCTCTGGAGACGTACTTGTAAAAAGGAAGGGAGGAGGAAAGGATGGGGGATGTTAGGTTTTATGTCAGAATGGAAGGAATAAGGAATGTTCACAGAGTTCTCCAAGAGATGAATATATACTATTCTCAGTCAAAGGCATAGCACACATAGAAACCATATGCCAGCTATGAATGATGTCATATGCTGACTTCATAGGGAATTGGCATGAGACCCTTGCTGGAATTCCTAGCACAGCCACACATTATGGAGACTCACTGGCACAGGGGGTGGTAGGGTTGGAGGGGAGTAGGAAGAGTAGAGATGGCCATACACTGTTAGATCTAATGGATTCCATCAAAAGCGTAGATGCCTATTGTATTCTGACAGCGGCACACCCACCAGAAGCTGATGGCTGCTGTCACTGCTTGGCTGAGAATTTTATTCCTGGCTCCTTTGATTGTCTGATCGAATGTTGGATAGAAGGCTGTCGACATGGCCACCCACTGAGCACATTTTGGCCAATTCATCAACAACCGTCCCAAATGTGCACATTGTATGGCCATCCTAAAGCCCCATTGTCATGTTTGTCAGCTCATAGCCAAACACACAACTGAAATATCAGTAGGCTGACCCTTTCCTAAAAGTATATAGGAATTCTGAGAATTTGAGCTAGTTTTAGGGGTTGTATCAATGGGCAATTACACCCTTGAGGTGCATTCTGTCTGCATGTGAGATCTCCTCCGAGATCATTTACAGGGTTATTCACAAAAGGGTGAAGAGTTTGAAGAAGGCAGGATAAGTGAACAATCTAGGCCCATCACTAGGATCCCCCGTCACATCAGAAGCCCCTTTCACATTAGAACCACCTCTGTTCACATCAGAGTCCCACTCTTTCACACCAGAGTCCCCTTCACATCACAAGCCCACCTTCACATAAGGAGCCCTACTTTGACATCAGGAGCTTCTTTTTTCCATAAAATCACAGC